CCTCCTTTTATTGCTAAACTTCTTAAAAGAGTGCCTCATTTTCCTGTTTAACCCATTCATCCAGTAGCCCTTTGAAACTTGGTTTATTTCCCCACAGTTCCAGAGAAGTCCTTTGACAAACTCCTACTTATTAAGTCGGCCATTTTTTTTTGAGACGGAGTCTCGCTCTGTCGCCCAGGCTGGAGTGCTGTGGTGCAATCTCGGCTCACTGCAAGCTCCGCCTCCCGGGTTCACGCCATTCTCCTGCCTCAGCCTCCCGAGTAGCTGGGACTACAGGCGCCCGCCACTGCGCCCGGCTAATTTTTTCTATTTTTAGTAGAGACGGGGTTTCACCATGGTCTCGATCTCCTGACCTTGTGATCCGCCCGCCTCGGCCTCCCAAAGTGCTGGGATTACAGGCGTGAGCCACCGCGCCCGGCTATTCTTTTAGATTTCTGCTTCCTTTGGAAGTCTTACTCATCTTTTCTTTGAGACTGCCTCCTTCCTCAGCTTCCATTGTTGTGTGCTCTTGGTTCTCTGCCTACTGCTCGGAGCTCTCCCCTAAGAGTTTTGACTTCCCCAGGCTGGAGTACAGTGGCGTGATCTCGGCTCACTGAAGCCTCAACATTCCAGGCTTAAGTGATCCTCCCATCTCAGCCTCCCAAGTGCTGGGACCACAGACACACGCCACCACACCTGACTAATTTTTGTATTTTTTGTAGAGATGGGGTTTTGCCATGTCGCCCAGGCTGGTCTTGAACTCCTGAGCTCAAGGTATCTGCCTGCCTTGGCGTCCTAATGTGCTGGGACTACAGTCATGAGTCATGAGCGCTTAGCTGAGAATGGCATTTCTTAGGACTTTTTATCATGGACTAAGTGTTGTTAAGTTGGCAGTTTATTTGCAGTTTGAAGATTGTGGTGTTAATGGCAAACTCTCAATTAAATTGATGTACATTTTCTGTAACCCTAGTTTCTTGATGTTGTGCCTGGCAGGAACTCAATAAATGTTCATTGGAATCATTCATTCAGTTATTTATTTATATGTTTAATAAATATTTACTAAATGACTAGTTGGTGAATTGAATTATTTGTTAATTCGACAGTAGGTAACTTTTTTTCAAATTATCTAAATATGGTTTTCTTTATCTTTTTATTTCAACTTTGTTGAATTTGGTTTTTCCTAATTTGAGCAATTACTAATTATATCATTCTTGGATAAGTTACTTTACCTTTAGAAATCAATTTTCTGGTTTTTATAACGGAATAATAATAGTGGCTACTTTCTGGGTTGTTGTAAGGATTGGATTTTTTAAAATGCACATAGTATATGCCTAGCATATAGTTATGGATTTGTAGTAATAGATGTTAGCTATTTTTCTTCTTCTTTTTTTTTTTTTTTTTTTTTTGAGATGGAGTTTCTCTCTTCTCGCCCAGGCTGGAATGCGGTGGCGCGATCTTGGCTCACTGCAACCTCTGCCTCCCAGGTTCAAGTGATGATTCTACTGCCTTAGCCTCTCAAGTAGCTGGGATTACAGGCGCCCGCCACCATGCCTGGCTAATTTTTGTATTTTTAGTAGAGACGGGGTTTCACCATGTTGGCCAGTCTGGTCTCGATCTCCCAACCTCAGGTGATCTGCCCACCTCGGCCTCCCAAAGTGCTGGGATTACAGGCGTCAGCCACTGTACCCAGCCTCATTATTATTCTTAATTGAATGTATCAGGAACAAGGCGTTGGTCCTCACAGTAAACATCTTGAGGAAAGCATTGCTTTCCCCGTATTTCAAAGAAATAAACTGAGATTCAGAGGATTTAAATAATTTGCCAGAGGACACAGCGCTAATCAATTGCAGATATGTGATATCCATTTCCATAGCTTATGCCTTTCACTTACACCAAAAAGCCTTTCAACATCTTGTTTGACACTTAGAAATGAACTAGGAGTCACTTTATAGTGACTAAAATTAGCTAACGTTGTTCTCATTTGCCTTCTGAGAGGTAGGACATACCAAGGGAGTTCTGCCCTGTTGGAGAAACTCCAGTCCTGAAGGTTAGATTAATTGAGATTTTATCTTTAAACCACAGAATTCCAGAGTTTAGGAGGATTTTATGTAGCATTTTCCCTATTCAATTACTGAATTCTCTCTCTAACCCTGTAGTCAAGGGGTCATCTGTTTTTTTCTCTAACACTTCCAATGACAGAAAAGTCACCCTCTCCCACTCCCAAGGCAGCTCATTTCACTCTGACCATGAGACAGCCCTTTCTTACGTCAGACTGAATTCCTTTCCTATGTCTGTCTTCCACACATTGGTTTCAGTTTGGCAGTGATGGCCACAAGAAGTAAGTGGGACCCCTGTTTCCTAAGGCAGCCTTTCAGATTCTTGCACTTTATTCTCTATCATAACCCCTAAACACTTTATTTTCACCAGAGTAGCAGCTTCAGCTCTTTAATTCCTAGCTTCCCCTTGAATAAACAACTGGGGTCCACTTTTTTTTTTCTTCTTAGTGTGATATAGTTGGTTATCTCACGAGCATTTTGCTTCTCCTCCAGTCTCTGTTAATACGTGGTACCACCCTCTACCCAGTTGTTCAAGCTAGAAACCTAGGAGTTTGTTCCCTTCACCATTCACATGCCATTCATCAGCAAGTATTTTCATTATTTTTTTAAAAATTCATTCGGCTGGGTGCAGTGGCTCACGCCTGTAATCCCAGCACTTTGGGAGGCCAAGGCAGGTGGATTACATGAGGTCAAGAGTTCGAGACTAGCCTGGCCAACATGGCGAAACTCTGTCTCTACTAAAAATACAAAAATTAGCCAAGCATGATGGTGGGCGCCTGTAATCCCAGCTACTAGGGAGACTGAGGCAGGAGAATTGCTTGAACCCTGGAGGCAGAGGTTGCAGTGAGCCGAGATCACACCACTGTACTCCACCCTGGGTGACAGAGCAAGACTTGCTCTAAAAAAAAAAAAAAAAAAAAATCATTTGTCTTTTTATTTTTTTACATTGTAATTCAATTTCAAAATTTTTATTTTTATTAAAAAAAAAAAAACAGTTTCACCTCAAGTATTTTCTTTCTCATTCCCAAATGTAAAATCCACTCCCCTACCATTATCATGGTCCAGGCCACCATTCTCTCTCCCTCATTCCTGAGTCTTGCCCACTCCCTACACTCACTTCTCCACACAGCAACCAGAATTATCTCTTTAAAGCGCAAATCAGATTACACTATTTCCCTGATTAAAACTCTTCTTTGATCTCCCATTGCCCTTTGAACAAAATTCAAAGTGTTTTCCATGGTCAACAAGGCCCTGTGTCATCTCAACCGTTCTTTTTTCCCTGCTGCTCACCCAGCCTTGGTCCCTGTTCTCCTTTATGTTCCTTGGACACGCCAAGCCTTTTCCAGTAGCCAACCCTTGCACTTCTTGTATCTATTGCCTGTGCTCTTTTCCTAGCTTTGCAAATGCCTGGCTCATTCTCATCTTTCAGGTCTCAGCTCACATCTCACTTTCTCAGAGAAGCCTGACCCCATCACTCCTCTAAGGCTCCATCTCATCATTCTGTAATTATCTATCTGCATTGTCATCTATCCTCACGAGAACATTAGTTCTTTGGTGACTGGACCTACCTTACATTAACAGTTGTATCCTCTGTAAGTGTCCCAGTAGCTGGCTCATAGATGGTGCTCAATAATTATCTGAGGAATAAATGAATGGCCTCATAATTGACTGAAAGGTATTGGAATCACATTAAAAATGAATTTGAGGCTGGGCGTGGTGGCTCATCCCTGTAATCCTAGCACTTTGGGAGGCTGAGGCTGGCAGATAGCTTGAGGTCAGCAGTTCGAGACCAGCCTGGCCAACATAATAAAACCCTGTCTCCATTAAAAATACAAACATCACCTGGGTGTGGTGGCACCTGCCTGTATTCCCAGCTACTGGGGAGGTTGAAGCAGGAGAATTGTGTGAACCTGGGAGGTGGAGGTTGCAGTGAGCCGAGATCGCACCACTGCACCCCAGCCTGGGAGACGGAGTAAGACTCCATCTCAAAAAAAGAATTTGAACCTGAGCTTTGCCACTTCATGTGTGACTTTGGGCAAATTATGTTATCTCTCTGGGCTTTAGTTGCCTCATCTGAGTAATAGCAATTCTATCTACCTTACAGAATGTAGTGCAGGTCAGTTAAGACATTGACTGTGAATGTACCCACCACAGTACCTGATACATATTAGGTATTCAGTCTACCACCAGTGAAAGCCTGGCACTTAATTCTAAACATTCATAGAAGAGTTCTATCAAGTTTCAGCCTCATTAATGGAACTGTTTGTGTGTTGTGCCTGTGTGTGTGTGATCCATAAGATGCCTGTGACTTCCCTCAAGTAACACTTGCCTGGCTGGGAAGACGGTTCTAACCCAGGGTGTCAGCTGTTGCACTGAATGATACTCAATCTGATTACCCAGAGGTGCCAAGCACAGAGCCTTCACTGGAGAGCTGAACACAGACCCTAAAATCTAAATTATCAAACCTAACATCGTGTGGCCCAGTCTGGTTGTCAAGATAGATGCTGTGTCTAGACAGTCATCTCCCTTGGGAAATCACAGTTGCTCAAAAAGGAGGCACGTGGTCTCCTGTTAAGAATACAAAACAGGCCTGTGAGCTGTTGAGGAAGAGGTTGCTGCTTGAGGTTGCATGGGCCTATGGAGCAGGGCCTGAGGAAAGAAGCTGTCTGCTTCTATACTCACGTGAGTCTCTGGATCATGGTGGTGGCCTTCTTCTTCACTCATGTCGGGACAGCAGAGTCCGTGGTACATAGGAAGGTGGAAACATAGCTATCAGCTTTCCCAGAGCGAGTGATTCGGTGCCTCCACTGAAGAGTGCTGGGAGGAATTGAAAGGCAAGTCTGGAATGTGCATTACCTGCCGGGGAGGGGAGCAGAAATCTCCCTGCAACTTGCCTGCTTGGCATGATGATCTAGATGGCTCCCTTCTGAAGGCTGTTAGGGTGAGTGTTTTAAGATGAGCACTCTGGAATTAGACAGACCTGGGTTCCAATCCTGGTGATGCAGTGACCTTGATCAAGTTATTGAATGTCTAAGCCATAGTTTGCTCATTACTAAATGGAGGTAATAACGACCTATATCTTATCTAGTTGCTGTGAGGATTAGGTGATACAGTGCATGTAAAAATATTAGCTTAGTGCCTGGCACATAGCCAGTGTTCAGTAAATGGTCATTCTTTTTATTAGTCAGGACAGGTCAGGATTTTGAGTTTAGTATTTCTTTTTCTTTTCTTTTTCTTCTGCTCTCTGCTAACAAAAAGTTTGATACTTCTGATGAGCCTCACCCACACTGAACTTTCCAGTCTCGCTTCCCCTCTTGCTAACTGTGTTCCTTGGACAAGTTACGGAACCTCTCTGAGTCAGTGTTCTTATCTGTTACATGCAGTTTACAGTTCCCATCTCACAGTGAGGATGAAATGAGATCAGAGCACCTGATACATAGTAAGTGCTCAAAATACTTATTTCCTCCTGTTTTGGTTCTCGAGTATCTGAAATACGGCCCCTTTAAGCTTGTTAAGATTCCTCGCTAGCCTTGTATGCAGCTGTGGGCAGAGAGCTTTGGCAGAAGGAAAGACTTCTTGTTTTTTTTTAAATGACTGTTTCATAATCTGTTGGCTCAAATCTGCTGCTGCCACACCCTGTGCCTCTCAGGGTCCCTGGGCCCCATTGCAGTTATCATATGCCTCACCTTTAACCTAAATGACCCTGGGAATGGCTGCTATGGAAGGATTTACTGAATGCAAAATGGATTTTCTTCCCTGCTCTTTGGGGCAAAGCTGGCTCAGAGATTCTTAGCTGCAGGGGGAGGGGCTGGCAGGCCTGAACTGCAATTGGACTTAGCAGCCAGGGGTTTTCTGGTTTTCATTAAAATTCTCTGGCTGTCTTTCGGGATAGCTCCATTGGATATGACTGTGCACTGGAGCCGGTTGTGCTGTTCTCTCAGCTATACACACCCATCAAATCACAGTGCCCCTGAGGACGAGAGAAAATTGAAGGTAGGGAATAGCCTGACTGAGGGGTCTTGCTGAGCAACCTTTGTGGTAAGGGGCCTCCATTTATAACTGCAGAGCTTGAGTTTTGCAAAGTCTTTGTAAATACAGATGGGGAGGCAGACATGGCTGAGCTGGGAATGGGTTGCAGAGAGAATCCTGTTACAGCTTGCTTTTGAGACTGGACTTGCTCTTGAGGACAGATGGAGGTTTCCTGGCAGCTGTTGGGGGTCCCCAAGTGTTACATTAATGAAAATGGCCTGATCTGATTATTCTTTTTTGTTTTTGTTTCTTTTTTCATTTGATCTGATCATTCTTTGGAGGTACTTGATACCCTCATATGCCCAAGGGGGTTGGGGTTGGGTGATGCAGTTTTCTGAGGGTGACAGGCTGAATTAAAGAGGATTGAGATTTTTATTTATTTATTATTGTTTTCTTAATTCCCTATGTGTTAGCAGAGGATTCAGTTTTGAATGTTAATTTCTGGTGGCTGAAGGAATCTCACTTGAGACTGAAACTTGAGCTTGCAAACCTAGGTTCAAATCATGACTCTGCTATTAACTTGCTTTTTGACCTTGGGCAAGTTACTTTCCTGGATCTCAACTTCACAGTGTGGTTGTCGGGATTAAATGAGATAAATTATGTAAAGCTCTTGGCATATCGAGCGTTCTCAACAAATGAGAGATGTTATTAGAAATTGGCCTAGATTTGACCTGTCACTCCAGCTTGCCAAGATATATTCTAATTCTGTCATGTAAAACATTTGTTCCGCATCTCTCCCAGCTTTGTGTCATTTAAGAACTTAAGGCGGGCCAGGCTCAGTGGCTCACACGTTTAATCCCAGCACTTTGGGAAGCCAAGGTGGGCAGATCACCTGAGGTCAGGAGTTCGAGACCAGCCTGACCAACATGGTGAAACCCTATCTCTGCTAAAAATACAAAAATTAGCTGGGTGTGGTGGCATGTGCCTGTAATCCTGGCTACTCTGGAGGCTGAGCAGGAGAATCACTTGAACCCGGGAAGCAGAGGTTGTAGTGAGCTGAGATCACGCCATTGCACCCCAGCCTGAGCGACAGAGTGAGACTCTGTCTCAAAAAAAAAAAAAAAAAGAATTTGAGGCAAACGTGTTCCCTAGGGCAAGCTGAAACTCCTCTACCTGGAAAAATACATCAAAACCATATTATTATGTTCGCCAGTGAGATGTTTAAGATGTCGAGTATTTCATATTTAGGTAACTTAGAAAAGATGGATTTTTTCCTATCATTCTTGATAGATAGATTATGAGACAGCCATTTTAATTGATATTGGGTGTAAATGTTCCCTGATATTACTTCCAAGAGAGCATGATTAAGGTTCCTATTTGCCTTTAGAGTAAACTCCTTTTCGGGCCGGGCGCGGTGGCTCAAGCCTGTAATCCCAGCACTTTGGGAGGTAATCCCAGCACTTTGGGAGGCCGAGACGGGTGGATCACGAGGTCAGGAGATCGAGACCATCCTGGCGACCACGGTGAAACCCCGTCTCTACTAAAAATACAAAAACTAGCCGGGCGAGGTGGCGGCGCCTGTAGTCCCAGCTACTCAGAGGCTGAGGCAGGAGAATGGCGTGAACCCGGGAGGCGGAGGCTGGGTGAGCTGAGATCCGGCCACTGCACTCGACTCCTGGGCGACAAAGCAAGACTGTCTCTAAAAAAAAAAAAAAAAGACTCCTTTTCCAGCCTTTTCTCCTTTAATTTACCTCTTCAAATCCAGTTCTAGCCATGGTGGACTGCTTACATAAAAATAATTAATGCAAACATACAATGGGTAAGGGAAAGAATGTTTAACACATATTTTCAGTTTAAAGATGAACATTAAAATTGTGGCCAGATGCAGTGGTACATGTTCGCACTCCAGCTACTCAGGTAGCTGAGGTTGAGGATTGCTTGAGGCCAGGAGTTCAAGACCAGCCTGGGCAAAATAGTGAGATGCTGTCTCAAAAAATAAAAGAAAGAAAATTGTGAATGTGCCATCCAATTTATTTGTAGATGGAAAGCTAATATTTGTATCCTAGAAGCTGTTTGTCCACTCTCTGCCTCTGAAATCTCACTCTTTTCTCCCCTCACCAGACAATGATTATCCTGACTTTTATGTTCATCGCTCTCTTTACTTTTCTATACAATTTAACCACCTATGTTTGTATTACTAAAACAAATGTTTTTTAAAAAACCAAGAAGCAAGCACAAACCGAGCAAGCTTTGTCACTGTTAGATCTAAACTCTGGGTCATAATATATTTTTAGCTCTCAGAGCTGGGTGCTGCTCTAATGGAAGTCAGTGGGCAAGGATGTGAATGAATCCTCAGAAATATGATCACTACTATTGAGACATCTGACAGGGTTGTGTGTGGGCACTCACTGGACGTGGTGGGAATATGGTTACAGAGAGTAGATGGGTTCTGTCTTTCTACTTCCAGTCTCTCTTTGGCCTCTTTCAGCTCTCAAGGAGTAGGTCAAAGCAGAACTCTTCTGTAGGATAAAGTGAATGTCACCAGCTAACCCAAACAAATAGTGTGAGGAAGGAGCAAGTACTTCATCAGCATGGGTCAAGACAAATAGAGGCAGAAAGAACCTGACCAAGTTTACTTCATACATTTTTTGTCAGGTTAAAGAGAATATGCAGGCGGGCCTGGTGGCTCTCGCTCTGTAATCCCAGCACTTTGGGAGGCCAAGGCAGGCGGATCACCTGAGGTTGGGAGTTCGAGACCAGTCTGACCAACATGGAGAAACCTCATCTCTCCTCAAAGTACAAAATTAGCCAGGTGTGGTGGCACATGCCTATAATCCCAGCTACTCGGGAGGCTGAGGCAGGAGAATCACTTGAACCTGGGAGGTGAGGTTGCGGTGGCTGAGATTGTGCCACTGCAATCCAGCCTGGCCAACAAGAGCGAAACTCCATCTCAAAAAAAAAAAAAAAAAAAAAATGTGCAGCAAATTACTGCAGAATATTCTACCAAATATTGACTTAAAATCATATTGTTTCCTTTGAACTAACTTTAATATATTGGAAAGATGGGGGAAAGGATGACAAGTTGAATTACACTCTAAGGAAACAAACAGAAAAATTTAGAATGTAGAACATTCTGTCAAGACAACTGACTTGGCTTCTGCAACAATTCAATGACATGAAAAAAATAATAAAGTGACTTAAGAATTATAACCAGATGTCAGTGTGAACCTTGTTTTGATTCGGATAGTCTGTGTGTTAGTTTGCTAGGGCTGCCGTAACAAAATACCACACACTGGGTGGCTTAAGCAACAGAAATTAATATTTGCACAGTTCTGGAGGCTAGGAGTCCAAGATCAAGGTGCTGGCAGGATTGGTTGCCTCTGAGGCCTCTCTCCTTGGCTTGCAGATGGCTGCTCTCTTGCCGCCTCCTTGCATGGTCATTTCTCTGTATACACACACTCCCAGTGTCCTGCTACATGTCCTATTCTCTTTCTATCAGGACACCAGTTAGATTGGATTAGGGCCCACCCTAACAACCTCATTTTAATTTAATTACCTCTTTAACGGCTCTATCTCCAAATACAAGAACAGTCACATTCTAAGATACTAGGAGTTAGGGTTTCAACATATGTATGAACTTGTGGGGGGGACACAATGAACTTGTAGGGGGACACAATTAGGGCTTCAACATGTGTATGAACTTGCAAAGAGACTTTTTTTTTTAATTGCAAAGAGACTTTTTTTTTTTTTTTTTTGAGATGGAGTCCTGCTCTGTCGCCCAGGCTGAAGTGCAATGGCACGATCTCAGCTCACTACAACCTCTGCCTTGTGGTTTCAAGCAATTCTCTTGCCGCAGCCTCCTGAGTAGCTGGGATTACAGGTGTGTGCCACCATGCCCAGCTAATTTTTGTATTTTTAGTGGAGATGGGGTTTCACCATGTTGGCCAGGCTGGTCTCGAACTCCTGGCCTCAGGTGATCTGCCCACCTCGGCCTCCTAAAGTGCTGGGATTATAGGCATGAGCCACGACATGCAGTCAAAAAAAGACTTTTTTTTTTTGAGACAGGGTCTCACTTTGTCACCCAGGTTGGAGTACGGTGGCATGAACATGGCTCACCATAGCCTTGACCTCCTGAGCTCAAGCAATCCTCCTACCTCAACCTCCCAAGAAGCTGGGATTGCAGGCATATACCACCACACCCAACAAATTTTTTATTTTTATTTTTTGAAGAGATGAGATCTCACCAAGTTGCCCAGGCTGCTCTTGAACTCCTGGGCTCGTGCGATCCTCCTGCTTTGGCCTCCCAAAATGTTGGGATTATAGGCATCAGCCACCACACCTGGCATTGAAAAGACGTTAAAAAAAATTTTTTTTTAAATGACTTTTGGGTTGCAAGTGGTTTTTGGTTACATGGATAAATTCTGCAGTGGTGAATTCTGAGATTTTAGTGCACTTGTCAACCAAACAGTGTACACGTACCCAATATGTAGTCTTTTTTTTTTTTTTGAAATGGAGTCTTGCTTTGTCACCCAGGCTGGAGTGCGTGGCGCTATCTCGGCTCACTGCAAGTGCTGCCTCTTGGATTCACGCCGTTCTCCTGCCTCAGCCTCCCGAGTAGCTGGGACTACAGGCGCCTGCCACCACACCTGGCTAATTTGTTTTCATTTTTAGTAGAGACAGGGCTTCACTGTGTTAGCCAGGATGGTCTATCTCCTGACCTTGTGATCTGCCCGCTTCAGCCTCCCAAAGTGCTGGGATTACAGGTGTGAGCCACCGTGCCCAGCCCCCAATATATAGTCTTTTATCCCTCACTCCCCTTGCCCCCTCCTTCCCCAGGTCCCAAATTTCATTATATTGCTCTGTATTGTTTCTGTGTCCTCATAGCTTAGTTCCCACGTAAGTGAGAAAATAAGGTATCTGGTTTTCCATTCCTGAGTTACTTCACTTAGAAGAATGGCTTCCAGCTCAATCCAAGTTTCTGCAAAAGACATTATTCTATTCCTTTTTATGGCTGAGTAGTATTC